ATTATCCAACCATTATTGATTATGCAACCATTGTTTGATTTCAGCTCATTAAATGTTTCTGTGCCTTCACCTTGTGTATTCTTCAGAGCTTAGTGTTTGCATAGCCTGCTATGTAAGGAATGTTTAGAAACAAACAAACAAAAAATTTAAAACTAGGACACAGAAAGAAATACTTTCAACTCTAATCTCCCTTCCCATCCTTTCTATATGTTGAGGTGTGAAAGAGGGAAGGTCAATGGCATGAGACAGACTTTTCTCCTATATGAGCGATCTTAAAATATGTCCATACACACACACACACACACACACACACACACACACACGCAAATGATGGCTCAAAGTACTACAAGAAGCCTGTTAGTTCCCTTATTTTTCTTGCAGCACAGTCTGTCTAAATGCTGGTAAGAAAGGGAAGAAAGTAGGAATTCAAGAAAACCAGTTTTTCTTATCTAGGTAATTCATGGGTTTCCAATGTTATATCTACCAGCAAATAGCTATCCAGAATAATGTACATTGTTTTTAAAACCTTCTCCTCTTACTAGTTTTTTAAAGTTTTAAATATCCTAGGCTAGACAATTGCTTATTCTAAAGACTTAAGTTCTTGTAATAAAGACAGTACAGTAGTCTCCCTTTAGCCATGGGGAATACATTCCAAGACCCCCAGTGAATGCCCAAAACTATGAATAGGACCAAACCCTATATGTCCATGTTTATTCCTATATATACACACCTATGATCAAGTTTAATTTTAAATTAGGCACAGTAAGAGATTAATATAACTAGTAATAAAATAGAACAATTAAAACAATATACTGTAATAAAAGTTATGACTGTTGTCTGTCTGTCTGTCTCTCTCTCTCTCTCTCTCTCTCTCTCTCTCTCTGTCTCTCTCTCTCTCTCTCTCTCTCTCAAAATATTGCAGTATTTTTGGACTACAGTTGACCACAGGTAACCGAAACCTCAGCAAGTGGAATAACGGATATAGGGGGGCTACTATAGGAATGAATTGAGAGCTTGCTTATAAAGCTATGTGCTTGAATTTAAAAGGACAAATTTAGATTTTTGAAAAAGCATCTTAGTCCTAAAATCTATATTTGGCTGCTTATACAATTAACTACTTTTAACTACATTTTTCTTTTCTTTTTTTTTTTGAGACAGAGTGTCACTCTGTCACTCAGGCTGAAGTGCAGTGGAGCAATCTTGGTTCTTCGCAATCTCTACCTCCTGGGTTCACGGGATTCTCCTGCCTCAGTCTCCCAAGTAGCTGGCATTACAGGTGCCCACCACTATGCCTGGCTAATTTTTGTATTTTTAGTACAGACAAAGTTTTACCATGTAGGCCAGGCTGGTCTCGAACTCCTGATCTCAGTGATCCACCTACCTCAGCCTCCCAAAGTACTGGGATTACAGGCATGAGCCACTGCGCCCAGCCAATTAATTACTCTTATAATAAAAGCAAAGGAATTAAATTGCATGGCACTGAGTTTCTATTCTAGTTTATAATATAAAATGAAAGAGTCTTAGTTTACATAGTCAAAAATGTTTCAGAGAGCAGTCCGTATTTTTCCAAATATAATTTCTGAAATAAGTCTGAAATATATTTTGCTTAAACAAGTTACATCTCCTTATTAGTACTGATTTAGAGCTTTTAATCTTTCAATCAGTGAATAAGCAATTCCATTTGCTCTATTTCAAAAGAAATTATTTATATGCAAATTAGATTTACATCTAAATAGAACTGCAGGTGGATAAGGTTAGTCTGCTTTAATAATCAGATTTTGGGATCAGGGTCTAGGTTTTGGTCATCTTTGTCACCCCCAGGGACTGCCATGCAAACAGCAGATACCCAACAAATATTGCTCAATTGAAATACTTTATCAAATAGATTACTTATGTGAAGACAGATGGTGTTAACCATAAGGAACCTCAACTTTTTATTGCATCAAGCTAAAAATACTTATTTAATAGTTCCAGCTACCAAATACAGAGTACTTGAAAGACATAATACCATATCAAAATTACTTCTACAATTCAGGTTTATCTCTAGTCAGACTGACTCTCCTTAATAAAATAATTTTTCTTTAAGTTTTAAAGAAGGGTATCAAACTCATATTTAAAATATTTAAAAACTGTTCATGAAATAATATTTTTCTTGTTGAAAGAGAAGAGAACTGTCAGCTCTAGTAGAGCCAGTAGGAAGGAACAATCCTTTCTTGGTATTGGTATCGATGTTGGTATTGAGTTGTCACTGCCTTATAGACTTACCTAAGGATTGTGATAACAAAAAAAGATTATAGGAAAACTTACATTACTTGGTCATAATATTGGTATATGGTCTGGTGGCTCAAATGTGTCAGTCATTAATGGCAACCAAAAACCGAACTCACTCTGTCACAGATACAAGTAGATATGGACTTTTGGGGGACTCTGAGTACAATGTGGTCGTAACTACTCTTGGTCAAAATTCAACCTTGTTAAAAATGAGAGACAGCTTGGCACGGTGGTTCACGCCTGTAATATCACACTTTGGGAGGTTGCTGACCAGCCTGAGGTTGGGATCACCTGAGATTGGGAGTTCAAGACCAGCCTGGCCAACATGGAGAAACCCCATCTCTACTAAAAATACAAAAATTAGCCGGGCATGGTAGTGTGCACCTGTAACTCCCAGCTACTCGGGAGGCTGAGGCAGGAGAATCGCTTGAACCGGGGATGTGGAGGTTGCAGTGAGCTGAGATTGAGCCACTGCACTCCAGCCTGGGCAACAGAGCAAGACTGTGAAAAAAAAAAGAAAAAGAGAGAGATTATGAAACCAAAGAACATATTCATTAGCAGAAGATTACATTTGCTCAAGGAACACATAAAGTCATTTTAACCAGAGTTTATGAAATGCGGGAAGGTTTTAAAGCAAATAATTATGAGACTGTACAATTTTGTAGCATTCATTAAGATTATTTTTTGTGCATTAAAGAGTGCTGTAAGCTATCTTCCCACCTTACATTAAAAAATAAGCCATATAAGAACAGACTACTTTATATGTGTACTTAAATATACTTTTTTTCTAATCAGCAGTAAAAAAAGGAAGCAAAAAATTTTTTGAGGCATACTATACTCAATATTCATGATTTCTATTCATTATAACTAAACTGTAGAAACTGAATGTTTTTTCAGAATATTTTCCCTAAAAGTATTCTATACTCCCATAAAGTTTCCCGTCTGCTATTTTCTCTTTCATTAGAGAACAATGTTGACACCATTTCCAAGATGCCGTTTTTACCAGTTCACCATGTGACAAGCTAAGCTTCACTACATACATTCTTTGTAGCATGGAGAAACCACAATTGCAGAATTCTATTTAGCATGGTAAAAATATAGCCTGTTATAAAATTTAAAAATAAATGTTAAGTATGTCTTTGTAAGTCTATCATTCAGGAAATTTTATATGCATTAGCTTCCTATAAAATAAGAAAAGTTGAATAAATTAACAAGCCAAAATGTGATTTAAAAATCTGAGCAGGCCGGGCGCAGTGGCGCAAGCCTGTAATCCCAGCACTTTGGGAGGCCGAGACAGGTGGATCACGAGGTCGAGAGATCGAGACCATCCTGATCAACATGGTGAAACCCTGTCTCTACTAAAAATCCAAAAGTTAGCTGGGCATGGTGGCACGTGCCTGTAATCCCAGCTACTCAGGAAACTGAGGCAGGAGAATTGCCTGAACCCAGGAGGCAGAGGTTGTGGTGAGCCGAGATCGCGCCATTGCACTCCAGCCTGGGTAACAAGAGCGAAACTCCGTCTCAAAAAAAAAAAAAAAAATCTGAGCAACATTGCATGTATTAATGGTAACTTTGTCCCTCAGTCTAAAATGGAATAAGGAAATAAGAATTTCAGAATTCTGTACTGCAGTTTTCTATTAATATAGTGATTTATTATATAATTATTCAAGTATTTTACTGTATTTTCAGAATATAAATAAATCAACATTACTTTTTATATTACCTCACCAATAACTAATAAGTGATTACTTAAGCTAGAAAACTCTACAATTGCTAAATCATTGCTTATATTTATTAAATTATACAGCAAAGAAATATCTCTATTAATTTACTGCTCAAGATTTTTTCAGAATCTCATATGTTGCTGAAAATGAAACATCTTTTCTGCAAATAAAATACACTGTTATAATGCACACACAAAAATTGGCTTGTGTTTAATTAGGAATTAGTGAATGACATGAAACAAAAAGCACCTCAGTAAGGTCATTGTATAGAAATCTGGATAGAAATCTCTGCTGTCTTAATGTGGTATGTGGTAAGATTTCTTAAATGCCTCACATTTTTTTAAGCTAAAAATCGATCAACTAGTGATTTGCAGCTTTGTGACAGAATTCCTTTTCATGTGTACTTCAAATGAACCATTGTATCCAATGACAATATGACTTCACAAACTTGGCAAACATATAAGAGAATAAGCACGAAAACAAAACAAAACAAAAAATTCTGTCTATAAAATATAGGACCCCTTAAAAACATGTAAACTGTTAATATTTTCTTTACATATAACATAAAATTACAATTCCCATCCCTACTTCTAGCACACTGTAGAGCATGGGAGGCTAAACTGATAAAGGAAAAATACCCCAGAGAATTTATGGCCATGGCCTGATCCTAACACAAATTTTTAAAAAAATGTATATCCAGTGTTATGGTTTGAATGTGTTTTTGAAAAAGTATGTTTGGAAAGTTAATCCCCAATGCAACAGTATTGAAAGGTGGAGCCTAAGGGAGAGGGTTTAGGTCATGAGGCTTCCACTCTCATGAATGGATTAATGTCAATTATAAAAGGGCTTGAGGTTGCAAGTTCAATCTCTCAATCTCTCTCACCCCCTCTTTGCCCTTCTACCATAACACAGCAAGAAAGCCATGGTCAGATGCTGGCCCCTTGATCTCAGACTTCCCAGCCTTCAGAACCATAAGCCAGTATATTTATTTTCATTTAAAATTACCCAGCTCGTGGTATTCTGTTTTAGCAGCACAAATGGACTAAGACATCCAGGGAACCCAAAATGTGAACTTCGTTAAAGGTGGTTTCAGACTGTGGTGCACCAGGTACCTGGAAGAAACAAAAGTAAATCCTTCCATTAAAAAGGCATTTTCAGGAATTTAGGCTTTCAGGAATCTCCCAAAATATTTATTCATGGATAATAAGCACACCAGGCAGCAATATCATGAGCAAGAAATAACCAAAACAATAATTTAGGGAAACAGATAAGCAAATAATTCAGATATTGGAATTATTATATATAGCTTATAAAATAACCACGCTTAGTCTACTTAAACAAATAAAAAGATAACCCTGAAAGTATTTTCAAGGAATAGGGAGTCCTAAAACAAAACCTAGTGTATCTGTAGAAAAACAAAAAAGAACTTGTATAATTAAACAATAATAAAATGTAAAACTCTAAGTACATTAAATATCGCTACAGAGTAATTTAGTAAAATAAAAGACAGGACATATAAAATGATCCAAAATGCAGCAAAAAGAAACAAAAATACGAAATACATGGAAGGAATGCTAAGAGACATGGAAAAAAAGATGAAAAACCCCAACATTCTTTTAATGTGAAGGGAGGAAAAAGTGGAGGGTGCAGAGACAATATTTTAAAACATATAGGCTGAGAGTTTTGTATAATTGATTAAATGCACAAGTTCTTTGTTTAAAAAGCCCAGTGATTTCCAAGCAGGACTAATAAAAATAAAACCATAATTAAACATATCATACTGATATTATATATTACCAAAGACAAAGGGAAAATAGTTAAAATGTGCCAGAAAAAAATTAGCAGATAACTTTCAAAGGAGTTACTTGCTGATAGCTGACTTCTCAGCAGATAAAATATGAGTCAAAAATACAGTGGAATATTTTCAATATGCAGGGGGATAAAGACTGCCAAATGAGAATTCTAAGTTCAGTGAAAATATCTTTCAAGAATAAGGATGAAGCTGGGTGACATCAATAAAAATGGCAGAGTAAAGACCTCTAAAAATTATTTCTCTACATGAAAGCAATGAGCGACAGTGCAATAATTGACAGAAATTTCTGAATTTTTCATAAGTCTAGAAATTAACCAAACACAAAAATACAGAAAATATTTTTTCAAGAAAAACAACTGAAACTTGATAAGAACAGTGAGCTTTGTGTTGTTGTAATTTACCCTATTCCCATCCTCCCTTCTCACCTTGAAAATGAACAGTTCACAATCATAGTGAAAACCAGCAGTCTGTCAGGCACCGGAGAGGGAAGAATGAGACTAAGCTTCCTTCAAAGCCCCATTCCCAGAAGATTGTTGTTTTATCTGTTGGTGGTTCCCTGGAAAACCCCATCCACAAATTTGTCTTTATTTAACCTGACTCAGAGCTCATTCAGTGTAAACAGCCATATCCTTAGGGACTGTATTAGTCTGTCTTGCATTACTATAAATAAATACCTGAGACTTTGTAATTTATAAAGAAAAGAGGTTTTGCAGGCTGTACAAGTATGGCACCAGCGTGTCCTCACCTTCTGGTGAGGCCTCAGAGACCTTACAGTCATGGCAGAAGGCAAAGGGAGAGCTGGTATGTCACATGGCAAGTGAGGGAACAAGCGAGGGAGAAGGAGGTGCCAGAATCCTTTAAACAACCAGTTCTTACATGAACTTCCAGAGTGAGAACTCATCATTGCCATGGGAAGGTAACCAAATCATTCAGGAGTGATCTATTCCCACGACCCAAACACCTCCCACTAGGCCATACCTCCAAGATCAGAAACTATATTTCAACATGAGATTGGAAGAAGACACACTTTCATACCATATAAGGTGTGTTTGTCAAATACATTTAAGGGCAATTAACTAAAATTGTATACAATTGTTAGGGCAACAACAGGCTAGCCAAAAAGGCTAAAAGGAAAGTCTAGGGATTAGATGTCCACAGAAGAGTCTGAAAAACTACAACATATTCTTGCAATATAGAAGGCAAAGCATATACATAGGACCGTGTGAATACTGAGGAAAATCCTGAGAAGGCTGAACCCCTCTTACTTCTGGCTAAACTGGAGGCTCTATGCAAGGAGAAAGTAAAGTTTAACTTTTTGTTAACTGCCTGGATGAATGTTAAAAGCATGCCACAACAAATATATCAAATCTGTCAGAAAAGACTTGGAGTCTTATTGGTTGCAGGCATTTAAGAAAATTATTATCTAATCATTACTTGAATACTAACCTAGCTAAGCAGAGCTTTCACTGGCAACACATAACAAAGAATACAGACTTTAGCATATTAATTTGGAAAAGTTGCTAAATAAACAACTATCTACTCCAATTAGCAGAAACCAACAACAGATCCTGAGGAGAAGGAAGAATGATTTCCAGAGTTTTTGTATTACGTTATTTTAAATCTCCAAGTTTTGACAAAAAAATAATTATAATATGTGCAAAGAAATAAAGTATGGCTCATACACAAGGGGAGAAACATAGTAAAAATAAACTATTCTTGAGAAAGACCAAATGTTGAACTTACTAGACAAATTATTTATTTATTTATTTATTTTTTATTTTATTTTATTTTTTTTTTGAGACGGAGTTTCGCTCTTGTTACCCAGGCTGGAGTGCAATGGCGCGATCTAGGCTCACCGCAACCTCCGCCTCCTGGGTTCAGGCAATTCTCCTGCCTCAGCCTCCTGAGTAGCTGGGATTACAGGCACGCGCCACCATGCCCAGCTAATTTTTTGTATTTTTTTAGTAGAGACGGGGTTTCACCATGGTGACCAGGATGGTCTCGATCTCTCGACCTTGTGATCCACCCGCCTCGGCCTCCCAAAGTGCTGGGATTACAGGCTTGAGCCACCGCGCCCGGCCTTATTTATTTACTTATTTATTCAAGACAGAGTCACACTCTGTCCCCCAGGCTGGAGTGCAGTGGTACACTCTTGGCTCACTACAACCTCTGCCTCCCAGGTTCAAGTGATTTTCATACCTCAGCCTCTTGAGAAGCTGGGATTACAGGTGCGAGCCACCACACCAGGCTAATTTTTATATTTTTGGTACAGATTGGTTTTATCACATTGGTCAGGCTGTTCTTGAACTCCTGACCTCAGGTAATCTGCCTGCCTTGACCTCCCAAAATGCCGGAATTATAGGCATGAGCCACCGTGCCCAGCCTGACAAAGAATTCAAATTAGCTATTTTAAATATGTTAAAGTAAGTAAAGGAAGCCATGGTTAAAAAACTTAAGAGGCCAGGTACAGTGGCTTGAGCCTGTAATTCTAGCACTTTGGGCGGCTGAGATGAAAAAATGAGTTGAGGCCAGGAGTTTGAGACCAGCTTGGTTAACACAGTGAGAGCCTTTCTCCACAAAATTTAAAAAATTAGCCAGGCATAGTGGCACATGGGTATAATCCTAGCTACTCAGGAGGTTGAAGCAGGAGGATCATTTTTGTCCAGAGCCTCGAGGCTGTAGTGAGCTATGACTGAGCTACCAGACTCCAGCCTGAGCAACAGAGCAAGACCTTGCCAAATAAATAAATAAATAACTTAAGAAAAGTATGAGAACAATATCTCACCAAAGAGAAGTTTTTTTTTTAAAAAAGAAAGAAATTATAGAAAAAGAACAAACTTGAAAATACAATAACAGAAACGAAAATTTCACTTGAGGGGTCAAGTAAAGACTTAAGCAGGTAGAAGAAAGCATCTAGAACCAAGATAAATTGAGATGATCAAATTCAATGGACAAAAAAATAAAATGAAGAAAAATAAATGAAGCTTCAGAGACCTGTGAGACACCACCAAACATAAGAATGTAAGCAAAATGACAGTCTTTGAAGGAGAGAGGATAAAGCCTGAGAAAGAATAGTTTAAGAAATAACGACTGGAAACTTCCAAAATTTGACGCAAATATTAATCAGCATATATAATAAACTTAGCAAAATTCAAGTAGGATAAACTCAAAGACAGCCACAATTAGAAACATTATAATCTAATTGGTGAAAGTCAGTAACAAAGAGTAAATCTGAGGGCAGTAAAAAAGAAACATCTCATCAGGAATCCTTAACAAAATTTACAGCCAATTTCTCATCAAAAACATGGAAGTCAGAAGGCAGTGGGCAGACACATTCAAAGGGCTGAAAGAAAGACTATCAACCAATAATCACATCATCCAGTAAAACGGTCCTTCAAAAATGAAAAATAAAATTAAGATCTTTCCAGATAAATTAAACTGAATTTGTCAGAAGCATACCTGCCATACAAAAAATACTAAAGGGAATCCTGTAGGAGAAAATGAAAGAACACTAGATAGCAACTCAAGCCACATGAAAAAAATAAAGAGCACCACTCAAGGTAACTAAATAATTACAAAAGGCTGTCTACGTGTATTTTTTGGTTTGGAACCCTGTTTTTTTTTTTAATAAAATCTACCTAATTTTTAAAACAGCTCTGTACAGGAATGATTATAATTAGTGTTGTTGGATAGATAAGGCATAAAGATGTAATTTGTATAACAATAACAGCACAAAGGAGCGGGGAGGGGATGAGGATCTATAGGAGCAAAGTTTTTTCATGTGATTGTAATTATGTTGTTATTATTTTGAAATAGATTGATATAAAATTAAATTTCAATTATAATCCCTAAGACAACCACCAAGAATATAACTCAAAAAATAAATACAGTAAAAGAAATGTCAAGGTATTTTAAATGGTACAGTATAAATTATCTTGTAGACAGTATATAGTTGGATCATTTTTTAAGTCTATTCTATCAATCCCTGTTCTGTAGTTGCAGAATTTATTCTATGTACATTAATATAATTACTGACAAGGAATGATTTATGTTTGCTGCATTTTGCTATTTATTTTCTATGTCTTATGCCTTTTTCCCTCTATTCCCATATTACTGACTTTGTGTTAAATAGATATTTAATAGTGTACCATTTAAATTACCTTGTCATTTCTTTTACTGTATTTATTTATTAAGATAGAGTCTCACTCTGTTGCCTAGGCTGGAGTACAGTGGCATGATCTCGGCTCACTGCAATCTCCACCTCCCAGGTTCATGTGATTCTCCTGCCTCAGCCTCCTG